TTAGACCAGAGGTTAGACCAGGTTTAGACCAGGGTTAGACCAGGGTTAGACCAGAGTTAGACCAGGTTTAGACCAGGTTAGACCAGAGTTAGACCAGAGTTAGACCAGGGTTAGACCAGGGTTAGACCAGGTTTAGACCAGATTTAGACCAGATTTAGACCAAGATTAGACCAGGGTCCTGGTCCCATTTTTAGTTTTGGATTTGTGTCTTGGGTAAAACTTAAGCATTGACACAGATCCAAAAGTGGAAATAAATTTGACCCTCTGACCCATAAAAACATCCAAATGTGAACAGAGGACTGACCTTTTGTGGGTGTTGGTTCCAGTGGAACGGCTCTTCTGATCTCCTCACTCTTGTCCAATCAGAGAGCTCCAATCTGCAGCGGCGGACTGTGATTGGCTGAAACTCACAGGCGAAACCAGGGTCCGAACTAGGTCTAAAACTGGACTAAACCAGGGACCAAAGCAGGTCTAAAACTGGACTAAACCAGGGACTGATCTAGGGCTAAACTGGAATAAAACCAGGGACTAAACCAGGGTTAAAACTTGACTAAATCAGAAACAAGGTCCTGGACTAACATTAGGACTAAGCATAAAATTTTTAAAATTTTTATTATCAAAATATGAACATTAAAAACATTTTAAAAAATTTACTTTTAACCATAACGAGGGTTTGAATACAGCTCAGCAGAGATCACGATATTACTCAAACATGCAAGGCTCACATTTATGAAAGAAAACTACACAGAAAAAAACAATCCATTATGCATAAAACCCCCCAAAAAAGCAGAAATATGAGAGTAAAGACTTCGAGCTCGAGATTATTTTGACATTTTGATTGGTCGTTGTGATAAAAATTCTGTTATCGTGTTTAAGAGTCTGTGAAGTCCAGGTAAAACACTCCTCCTCTTCCTCCTTTTTTTGGTCCAGTTGACAGTTCTGATGGTGAAAATCCTCCTTCCTTCCTTCTTTCCTTCCTTCCTTCCTTGGTCCTCGGTCTTCAGAGGCTGTCGACTCCTCGGATGCGCCGGGCGAGCTGGACGTCGCGCGGGAACAGGGTCACTCTTTTGGCGTGGATGGCGCAGAGGTTGGCGTCGGAAAACAGCATCACCAGGAAAGCCTCGGCCGCCTGAAACCAAACACGCGTCAGATGCGTCAGATGCGTCAGGTGCGTCAGGTGCGTCAGATGCCCTCCCGGACGTCGCCGTGCGGTCGGAGTAAACGGCTCCACAGAGTCAAAGTTCTGAGTTCGTGTCGTGTTTCGGTGTTGTGGAGTAACAGATTACATGTACCGGAGTTATGTAATCAGAGTACAAATGATGAGTAACTGTATTCAGTTACAGTTACTGTTTCAGTGAGTGGTAATTGGATTACAGTTACTTTGTTGAAATAAATGGATTACACAGAGGTATTTATATTTATTTGGGCTAAACCAGGACTAAACCAGGACTAAACCAGGACTAAACCAGGACTAAAACCAGATCGACTAAAAAAGACTAAAACCAGGACTAAAACCAGGACTAAAACCAGGACTAAAAACAGGACTAAAACCAGGACTAAAACCAGGACTAAAACCAGATCTAAAACCAGATCTAAAACCAGATCTAAAACCAGATCTAAAAAAAGATCTAAACCAGGTCTAAACCAGGACTAAAACCAGTTCTAAAGCAGGACTAATGCAGGACTAAAACAGGACAAAAAGCAGGTCTAAACCAGGTCTAAACCAGGACTAAAAGCAGGACTAAAAGCAGGATTAAATCAGGTCTAAAACAGGTCCAAATCAGGTCTAAACTAAACAGGACTAAAAACAGGTCTAAACCAGGACTACAAGCAGGACTAAACCTAAAGCAATACTAAACCAGTTCTAAACCAGGTCTAAACTAGGACTTAAACCCAGATCTAAACCAGGACTAAAACCCGTTCTAAACCAGGACTAAAAGCAGTTCTAAACCAGGACCAAAACCAGGACTAAACCAGGACACTAACAGTAGGATGGACATAATTTACGCAGCAGTGATCTTTTGCCTTTGTACAGCAGAACGGCCCTCGTCACTGATGTGTGTGTCGTGTGTCTTGCATCTTGTGTCGTGTTGTGTGTCGTGTGTGTGTGTGTGTGTGTGTCGTGTGTGTGTGTGTGTGTGTGTGTGTGTGTGTGTGTCGTGTGTGTGTGTCGTGTGTGTGTGTCGTGTGTGTGTGTGTGTCGTGTGTCTGTCGAGTGTGTGTTGTGTTGTGTCGCTCACCTCCTGCAGAGCCAGCAGAGCGTAGACCTGCCACCGGTAAGACTCTCGAGTAAAACCCTGACAGATTTCACGAACCTGAAAGACGTTTAGAACAGAACTCAGACTGAAACCGTGTAAAAATAAAACCCTTTAAATGTATTTATAGATCTGGGTCCGAGTCTGGGACTGACCAGTCGGGAGAAGGGGCCTTTACGCAGCAGCAGGTTGGTGCTTTTCTGGTACTGGCGGATTTCTTTGAGCGCTTTGGTCCCGGGTCTGTACCTCCTCTTCTTCCGCGGAGACGCTCCAGGGGGCGCTCCTGCACACACACAGAATTAAGACTGAATTTAGCCCCAGTCCAGGTCCGGTCCCTGGTTTAGACCCTGGTCTAGTCCTCAGTTTAGTCCCTGATTTAGGGCCAGTCCCCGGTCCAGTCCCCGGTCCAGTCCCCGGTCCAGTCCCCGGTCCAGTCCCCGGTCCAGTCCCCGGTCCAGTCTACTCCTCGGTTTATTCCCTCTCTAGTCTTAGTCCCCTCTCTAGTCCCCTCTCTAGTCCCCTCTCTAGTCCCCGGTCTAGGTCCAGTCCCCGTTTTAGTCCCCGTTTTAGTCCCTAGTTTAGGTCTCGTCCTCGGTCCAGTCCCCTCAGTCCAGTCCCCGGTCCAGTCCCGTCCAGTCCAGTCCCCGGTCCAGTCCCCGTTGTAGTCCCCATTTTAGTCCCTGATCTACTCCTCGATTTAGTCTCTAGTTTAGGTCCAGTCCTCAGTCCAGTCCCCTCTCTAGTCCCCGGTCTAGTCTTCGGTCCAGTCCCCGGTCTAGGTCCAGTCCCCGGTCTAGTCCCTGTTTTAGTCCCCATTTTAGCCCCTGATCTACTCCTTGGTTTATTCCCTAGTTTCCTCAGTCCCTCGGTCCCCGTTTTAGTCCCCGGTACCTGAGGCTCCGCTGCGCCTGGGCGTGGGTGTGGGCGGTGTGGGCGGTGGGGGCGGTTGAGGCGGTCGTCTTTTGGGGTTGGCGCCTTTACGGCGACTCGATGAAGTGTCGTGCCTCATGACCTCGCGGCTCGGAGGGTCAGGGGTCAGAGGTCAGAGGTTTTATACAAGAAACGTCCCAGGAGTCCCTTTTTCTCTGCCAACTGTAAAAAGAAGAAAAAATATTGTCATTTGTTCAGGTAAAATACAGAAAAGCTGCTTAAAAAAAACAACCAAAACACAAAGAAAATGTGACTAAACCAAGTACTAGGCCGGGACTAACCAGGTACTGACCAGGACTAGACCAAGGTACTAGGTACTAGAACTAGACCAGGGACTAAACCTGGTACTAAACCAGGTACTAGACCGGGACCAACCACCACAAACCAGAATTTTCAAAGTACAAATCTTATTTACGTTGCTTCTCTGTTAAGAAGGACGGAAAAATACAGAAAAATACAGTTTTCTAACCCTTAAATAGATTTTAGAATAGAATATTTGGGCTTCAAAAAAAGTATAATTTATGATGAAATGTGTAAAATATCTGTAGATGAAGTAAAAAACTGCTGTAGATTTATGTAAAAATGTGTCCAAATAAAAACTTAAAATGTGGATTAAAATGCTTAGTGTCTATTAAGTGAGTCACCTCTTGTCAAATCAACAAATAATGTAAAACACAATTATAAACTGGACTCTGAGATCAGTCACATGTATCAGTGATTTTCATTTTTCATAATTTGTGATATTCTGAAGTTAATCTTAGTTTTCCCGTAAAAGTCGTAATATGTTCCACTTCACTTTTGCCTCCAGCCGCCTCCTGTCCTCCCGACTCTGTTCCAGTGGGTGATGGTTCTGGTGAGACCTGCCCTGGTCTTGTACCGATGACTCTCTTCACTGTGAAGACAAGAACAAAAGAGTCAGATGCCCTCCCATCCTCCTGAACCCCTGAGTGTCAAATGCCTGTTGTTGTGTAGCAGAAAAACAGATCTAAAACTGGACTAAACCAGGGTCTAAACCAGGTTTGAAACTGGACAAAACCAGGTCTAAAACTGGACTAAACCAGGAACCCAGGTCTAAACCAGGACTAAAACTGGACTAAACCAGAGTCTATCCCAGTGCCTAACCCAGGTCTAAAAGTGGACTAAAACTGAACTAAACCAGGGTCTAAATCAGGTCTAAAACTGGACTAAACCAGGGTCTAAAACTAAACTAAACCAGGGTCTAAAACTAAACTAAACCAGGGTCTAAAACTAAACTAAACCAGGGTCTAAAACTGAGTCTAAAACTAGACTAAACCAGGTCTAAAACTAGACTAAACCACGGTCCAAACCAAGACTAAAACTACAACTTAAAGCCGAGGCCCTGATTTTCAAACCATGTAATTCTGTAATTTTAAATGTTTTTGTTTACAATTATTTTATTCTATATAAAAGGCAATGATAAAGCTAAAACATAATTATGTAAATGTACAAGTCAAAATAAAATAGAAAAACAAGTAATAATAGAAAAACAACAGTAACAGGTTCGTGTTGTAAAAATTATAACAATTTAACAGATTTTTGATTAGAAATGTGAACAAATCGTGCGTCAAGCACCGAGGTTATATTGAAAGTTAGTTAGTTTGTTTCACTTTTTTAAATGCACAAAAGCCTTTTAGCAAACCTTCCCTTTTGAGTATCTTTATAAAACCCTCTTACCTTCTCCCGAAAGTAAAAAGTTTCCCGAAATCCTTAAATTTAAAGTTTAAATGTCCAAAAGTGTCGGAGCAGAAGAGGAAAACAGCCCGCAGATTCAAACAACGCGTCTACTCCGACTCGACCAATCAGCGGCGGCCCTGAAGAACACGTGACCGCAGAAGGGGCGTTTGCGATGCGTCACACTAAATGGGCGGGGTTAACGGTCTCATTCGAAAATAAACGTAAAGGAGTTTAAACGCGTGTTCCCCGTGTAGAGTTTAAACGTACCTTTATTAAAAATACGGGAGGGACGTTTATTTATTTTTATTAATTAATTAATTATTTTTTATTATTATTATCATTATTTTTATAATTACCTTATAAAAGTATATAGTTCACATGAATATAAAATAAATGCAAAAAAAAAAAAAAAAAAATAAAAAAAGTAAAAAAAGCCCATTGTCCATATGGAAAGATTTAGTCAAAAAATGTTTTAGTTTCATGTGAACACTTTTTATTTAAGTTTAGTGTCACCAAACAACGTCTCTGTAGATCGTTTAAAGATCTATTCCTTACTATCAATACAATATAAAATATAAAATACTATATTTTAGTCTCGTATTTTATATTTTCTTGGATTCTTTATGAATGTGTGCTGTTCCTCCACATGAACACTAGATGGCGACATCACTCCTTCACAAACCAAACACACGAACACGATGACATAATTTAAACACCAAAAACCACTGACCATCTAAACCAGGACTAAACCAGGTCTAAACCAGGACTAAACCAGGTCTAAACCAGGACTAAACCAGGTCTAAACCAGGTCTAAACCAGGACTAAACCAGGTCTAAACCAGGACCAAACCAGGACTAAACCAGGACTAAACCAGGTCTAAACCAGGACTAAACCAGGTCTAAACCAGGTCTAAACCAGGACTAAACCAGGACTAAACCAGGTCTAAACCAGGTCTAAACCAGGACTAAAACAAGACTAAACCAGGTCTAAAATCTAAACCAGGACTAAACAGGTCTTAAACCAGGTCTAAACCAGGTCTAAACCAGGTCTAAACCTAGGATCTAAACCAGGTCTAAAACCAGGAACTAAACCAGGTCTAAACCAGGACTAAACCTAGGTCTAAAAACCAGGATCTAAAACCAGGTCTAAACCAGGCTTCTAAACCAGGACTAAACCAGTCTAAACCTAAAACAGGACTAAACCAGGTCTAAAACCAGGTCTAAACCAGGACTAAACAGGACTAAACAGTCTAAAACAGGACTAAACCAGTCTAAACCAAGTCTAATCTAGGACTAAAACAGTCTAAACCAGGACTAAACCAGGGTCAGGACTCAGGTCTAAAATCAGGACAGGTCTAACTCCAAACTAAAAAGGTCTAACAGGACTACTCCAGGTCTAATCCAGGACTACACCAGATCTAAACCAGATCTAAACCGGGTCTAATCCAGAGATAGATTCTATTAAATATCCAGTCCGTTTAATTTGTGGCTGAATCACATTTAAACTGGAGATGATTTTATTTCCGTTTGTTGTGGGTAAATGTTGACAGTGGCGTTAATGAAAACCTCTGTAAATCAGTGAACAAATGTAAATAGTTTTTATTCTTCCTGAGTGGAACGTGAACGAGCGAGGGAGCGAGTCGAGGAGCGAGGAGGGCTGTCGCAGACTCACTGGAGCACAAACACGCCGCCGGACGCTGTAATTAGTTTGTGAACGGCACGAAACACGAGCAGGATTCACACAAAGACAAAAAAAAAAAAAAAAAAAAAAAAAAAAAAAGAAAAAGAAAAAGACGAGCTGAACCGGAACCAGTGTGACGAACTTTAACAGGTTTATAAAATATTTAAAAGGTTCAGGGACATATTTTAATTTAAATTTCTGAAATTATATATTTATGATTTATTTATTATATTATTATTTATATTTATTATTTATATTATTTTATTTTATTTTTATTTTAATTTAAATTAGGATTAAACCAGGACTGAACTTGGACTGAACCAGGACTAAACCCGGACTGAACCAGGACTAAACCAGAACTAAACCAGGACAAAAACAGGACTGAACCAGGACTAATCCTAGGACTAAAACAGGTCTAAAACAGGACTGAACCGGGACTGAACCAAGACTGAACCAGGACTAAAACAGGACTAATCCCAGGACTAAAACAGGACTAAACCATGGACTAAACCAGGAACAGGACTAAACAGGAGGACTAAAAACTGGGACTAAACAGGACTAAAACTGGACTAAACCGACTAAACCAGGACAAGGACTAAACTAGGACTAAAAACTAAACTGGGACTGATCCAGAACTAAAACAGGACTAAACCTCGACGAAACCAGGACTAAACCAGGACTAAATCAGAACTGAACCAGGACTAAACCAGGACTAAACCAGGACTTAACCAGGACTAAACCAGGACTAAACCAAGACTAAACCAAGACTAAAACAGGACTAAACCAGGACTAAATTAGGACTAAAACAAAAAACAGGACTAAAAGAACAGGACTTAAAAACAACAGGACTAAACCAGGACTAAACCAGAACTAGAACAGGACTAAACCAGAACTTAAACAAAACTAAACCAGGACTGAACCAGGACTAAACCAGATCTAAACCAAGACTAAACTAGGACTGAACTGGGACTGATCCAGAACTAAAACAGGACTAAACCTCGACGAAACCAGGACTAAATCAGAACTGAATCAGGACTAAACCAGGACTAAACCAAGACTAAACCAGGTCTAAACCAGGTCTAAACCAGGACAAAAATAGGACTGAACCAGGACTAAAACAGAACAAGACTGAACTAGGACTAAAACAGATGAAGAAAACTGGGACTTTTTCTAATTTTTCTAGTTTTTTTCCCACTTGAAGTTTTCCTCTCATGTTTCCAGACGTTTTCGTGGTTGGTGACGTGTTTTTGTTTTTGAAAAAGGAGGGATGACAGGAGGAGTGTGACTCTGCTCGTGTGAGTCTGAGCGAAGGACGATCTGCACTCGTTTTGTCATTAGTAAAAAAAAAAAAAAAAAAAGAAAAAAAAGAAAAGAAAACAGCCCCCGAAGCCAAAGGACGAAGTAAAAATAGACTCATTAGAAATTTCTGTGTGGAAGTGTGAACCTCTCTCTCTCTCTCTCTCTCTCTCCTTCTCTCTCTCTCTTTCTTTCTTTCTTTCTCTGTCACTTGCTCTCATCACTCTCTCCCTCTTTTCTTCTCTCCTCATGTCTCTCTCTTCCATCTGTATCACTCTCTTTTTCCATCAATCATTCTCACCCTCTCTTTCTCTTGTTCTTTCTCTCTCTCTCTCATCTCTCTCCCTATCACTCTTTTCCTCCTCTCTTTCTTTCTTTCTTCATCACTCTCTCCGTCTTTCTCTCTCCATCACTCCCCATCTTTTTCTCTCTCTCATTCTCTCTCTCTCTCTCTTTCTTTCTCTCTCTCTAATACTGACTCTTTTTCTATCTGTCACTCTCATCTCTCTCTCTCTGTTTCCCTCTCTCATCATCACTCTTTTCCTCCTCTCTATCACTCTCTCCCTCGCTTTCTCTGTCTTCGTCGCTCCCCCATCTCTCTCTCTCTCTCTCTCTCTCTCTCTCTCTCTCTCTCTTCTCTCTGTCACTTGCTCTCCATCACTCTCTCCCTCTTTTCTTCTCTCCACATGTCTCACTCTTTTCCTCCTCTCTTTCCCTCTCCATCACTCGCTCCTTTTTCTCTCTTCATCACTCCTTCTCACGCCTCTCTTTCTTTCTTTCTTCTTCTTTCTCTCTCTCTCTTCCATCTGTATCACTCTCGTTTCCCTCCCTCTTTCTCTCTCTCTCCTTCTCTCTCTCTCTTTCTTTCTCTCTCTTTCTCTCTCTCTCTTTCTTTCTCTTTCTTTTCTCTGTCACTGCCTCTCATCACTCTCTCCCTCTTTCTTCTCTCCTCATGTCTCTCTTCCATCTGTATCACTTCTCTTTTTCCATCATCATTCTCACCCTCTCTTTCTCTTGTTCTCTCTCTCTCTCTCATCTCTCTCCCTCACTCTTTTCCTCCTTCTTTTTTCTTCATCACTCTCTCCGTCTTTCTCTCTCCATCACTCCCCATCTTTTTCTCTCTCTCTCTCTCTCTTTCTTTCTTTCTTTCTTTCTTTCTCTCTCTCTAATACTGACTCTTTTTCTATCTGTCACTCTCATCTCTCTCTCTCTGTTTCCCTCTCTCCCCATCATTCTTTTCCTCCTCTCTATCACTCTCTCCCTCGCTTTCTCTGTCTTCGTCGCTCCCCCATCCTCTCTCTCTCTCTCTCTCTCTCTGTCACTTTCATCTCTCTCTCCATCACTCCTTTCCCCCTCCTCTCTTTCTCTCTATCCATTACTCCTCCATCTCTCTCTCCATGTCAGTCTCTTTCTTTCTTTCCTTCTCTCTTTCTCTCTCTCTCCAATACTCTGTTCCTTTTTTTCTCTCTCTTCATCACTCCGTATCTCTCTCCCTTTCCCTCTCTCCCCATCACTCTCTCTAATTCTCTCTCTCTCCTTGTATTTCTCTCCTCCATCTGTATCAGTCTTTCTTTCCCATCGCTCTCACCCTCTTTCTCTCCCTTCTTTGTCTCTCTCCTCTCTCTCCCTCTCTTTCTTTCTCTTTCCAATACTCACTCTTTCTCACCTCTGTCATTCTCATCGTTCTCTCCATCCCTCCCCCCATACTCTCTCTCTCTCTCTCACTCTCTCATCACTCTTTTCCTCCTCTCTTTCCTTCTCCCTCTCTCTCTTTCTTTCGTTCCTCTCTCCATCGCTCTTTTTTCACTCTTTCCCTCCCTTCTTCTCCAACACTCATCCTCTCTCTCTCTCTGTCACTCTCTCCCTCTCTCTCCTTCTCGTTCTCTCTTCCATCTGTATCAATCTTTTTTTCTCCATCACTCCCTCTCTCTTTCTCTCCCTTCTCTCTCTCGCTCTCATCTCTCTCTCATCACTCTTTTCCTCCTCTTCCATCGCTCTCTCCCTCTTTCTCTCTTCATCACTCCCCATCACAATCTCTCTCTTTTTCTCTCTAATCCTCCCTCTCTCTCTCTCTCTCTCCTTCTCGTTCTCGCTTCCATCCGCATCACTCTTTCTTTCTCTGTCACTCTCACCCTCTCTTTCCC